TCTCAGTTAACTTCCTTTTCCACCTGGCTGTTGGTGGAGCTCTGGCCACTGGTAGAGTTCAGTCCCCTGCTTGCTGACTGCCACTGAGTTATCTGGTCATTGCAACACCACACCATTGTGTCTGCTGCTTTCCTTTGTCCATCAGCCTCCAGGTTACCCTCTACTTCAACCTGTCCACTCCTATTTTCTGTAATGTGCCCTGTGTGCTTCATCCCAGCTAATGATTCTCTACATGTTTAAACATGTCCTTACCCTATTTTGCCACCTCGATTCCTATCAATATGTAATTTCTATGTCGAGAGTTTCAATGGATTCAATACAGTCACTAAATAATTATGATTAATGTCTATTTTACTGATGCAAGTAACTTGAAGTTTTAGCTAACAGTAGTTATTTCATGTATGAAAATTACCTAAAGAAAATACAATATATTTTTTACTGGTGTGTTATAATACTTCATAAAATTTACCCATTATAAAAATCTAACATCCATAATATGCTGAGCAATGTAACTTAAAGTTGAGTAAAACAAAGGCAACCACTATATTTTTTAAAGATTTATTTGTTTTTATTACAAAGTCAGATATACAGAGAGGAGGAGAAATATAGAGGATGATCTTCCATCTGATGATTCACTCCCCAAGTGGGCACAACGGCTGGTGCTCTGCCAATCCAGAGCCAGGAGCCAGGAACTTTCTCCAGGTCTCCCATATGGGTGCGGGGTCCCAAAGCATTGGGCTGTCCTTGATTACTTTCCCAGGCTACAAGCAGGGAGCTGGATGGGAAGCAAGGCTGTCGGGATTAGAACTGGCCCCCAGGTGGGATCCCAGAGCAGTCAAGGTGAGGACTTTAGCCACTAGGCCACACCACCAGGCCCAATAGGTAACCACTATTAAATATCAATCTATATGTCAGATACCAAAATAATCTGACTCCATCATTTTAAGTATATTACAAAATATGCTATGAATGAATTCAATTGTTTTTAATATGACCTTGATAAAAGTTAGCTTTGTTAAATTGTGCAACATTTTGAGCTTTCAAAAAATGACTTATGTATTTATTTGAAACATAGAGTAACAGAGAGAAGAAAAGTCAGAAAGATGACTTCTTTAAATTTTAGTTACATTTCATTTTATGACACAGTTTCATTGGCTCTGTGCTGGCTCACTGCACCACTCAAACAACTGCATTTGTCCCAGTTGGGCCAGGCTGGAGCCAGGAGCCTGGAACTTCTTTTGGTTTCCCATATAGATGCCAAATGCCCAAGCTTTTGGGCTACCTTTCATGGCCTTCCCAAGCATGATTGCATGGAGCTACATCAGAAGCACAGCAACTGGTATGCAAGTATGGGATGCGAGTATTGCAGTTGGTGATGCAACCCACTGTACTACAGTGATGTATCTGATTTCTTTTTAATAAGTGGTTGACCTATTTGGTGGCATGGAAAAATTGTCACTGTCTCCTAGAAATTCATTAAAATACTATTCAGATATTTCTGACTCATGATGACTGCCTCTACACTACAACCTTCTTTTGTTTAAGCAACAGGAGTTGCTATATCACCACTGAGTTAATACTATGTTGTTCTAGTTTTATTGTATATATTGGCCATTGATAAGGACTCACAAGATAAAAACAGCATGTATCTTTTACAGATTTGAAATTCCTATATATGGGTTGCTCCAGAGACATGAAGATAAATACAATTCCAAGTGGTTTGACGACTCATTTTCAGATTTGGAGTTTTATGTGGCTTCATGAGTAATATTTTATGCTAGTTTATATGTGATTGACCATGGCAAAAGTTATTAGCCTCTAAGTATGAAGAAACATAAGTTTTGTCCATATATTTAGTGAATTTACAATTCACATTTTTAAAAATGGATCACTATTCACAAGAGTGCTCACAGAAAAGGACTCCAAAGCATACAAAAAAGAAAAAAGAGTGGAAATGAAAGAAGGGAATTTCCCATGAACTTTTAAAATTTTTCACATATTAATCCATTAAGGATATAAATGTATGAGATATAACCCCATAAAAGGAGTACACTTTGGTTTGAGCACCTCTCTAATATTACCCAATTAGATTTAAAAACACAAAATTAAGATTATGGTCCATTATCCTAATATCAAATTGTACTACTCCATTATTCTACAGAGAAAATATCAGAACTATTCTACTTTTGCATAAAGAATTCATAAAGATTTGTCTGGTAGAATAGTCAAGGTATATGTATACGTGGAGATTTGTCAGAGTTTTGGTCAGTGATGACTATGTTGTTTGGAATGGAAATGTTTGCTAAAAATAGTAAGTAATTGGGCTAATCTGAGCTCTAGGCTTATTGATAATGCTGGACCCAAAAGTTGCAATTAATGATAGAATAATTTTATTTTGAGTGTGAGAAAGTGAGACCCTTTATAGGAAATAAAGCATTCCCAATCTGGTTTATATGCTTTGAATTTAACATTCTCCTTCCATAAGGTGTATTTCACTGACCTATAACATGGGGCATTAAGGAATAATTTTGGAAAATTTCAAATCTCATTATATCTTTCCATAAAATAGACAGCCAATAGAAAAACATTTGCTGAAAAAAGGTGAGTGACACCAATTGGCCACAACTAAAATCTGAAAGATACTAAGATAATCATATAACTAACATCATATTACATGAATATATACTGAAGGCAACTATGTTTTCACATTAGACAATCAGGTATTGGTAATTCTTCTGAAATGACCTGTCGTCTTACTTGATGTGATTTTATGGGAAAAAATTACTTTTCAACTGCACTTGCTATAAATAGATGCTTGCATGCACTGGTACTAGTGACAGATGGAACTTTGATAATAAAGAGATACTGCTAAAAACTGGAATTGGTATTTTATGTAAAGAAATATTAACTAATTGAAGAACCAACTATTTTTTTCTTGCTTTTTCTTCTTTTATTTTGATAATCTTTACATAGTTGATTAGGGTACAAAGGGTCAAGGGTTACTGGAAAGTGGGTAAGATAATTGTTTTCACATTTGTGTGTGTGAATCTGGAGTAAGGAGGGGGATAAAGGGAGAAGCCCCACCCAACCTCCCACCCCATCTCAGGGCCCCTGACATGGGGCATGTTCTGAGTGCAATGCTCAAGTGGTTTTGATAGTTCAACAGTTCTCAATTGCTGACAATCTTGTCATTCCAAGATTGAAATCTTGGATTAAATCTCTTCAGAATACATTGGCAGACATAGTCCACCTTAAAGTCTCCATTTGCCCAGATTTTCACTGCCAACATGTGGTTGGGGCAGATGATACGTTTGTAAAGAACCAATCGTTAATGGACTTTCAGATTTTAAAATTACATAACTTCAACATTTTCAAGATAAATAACTATATATAGGAAGTTGGCAAATCCATTTTTTCTGAAATGAGCAGGTTCAAAACCAAGGCATAGGACTTCTGTGAGGCATTCTTCAATTCCATAAGTTATTTCACAAGTTGATTGCATTCATAAGATAAAATAAGTATTCTTGAAATTTCCTTGAAAAATGTTTGAGACATTGCCTGATGTCCAGTAAAAAGCGTGCAGGGACCAAGACCAAGGAGAGAGAAAACAATTCATGCTCCCAACACAATGCAAGCAGCACAGCTATCATTTCAGAAATCCACTAAACCAACAATGGCCACTGAATGAGAAAATCAACCTAGGCAGAGGGGGTAGGGGAATAGAGAGAAGCAGAGAAGGAAAATTAATCCGTAGCCTCCTTCTGCTGTTTTCTCACATCATTACTTCACCTTGTCTCACAGATATCAGCTAACACTGTTGAGTAATGCTGGTACAGAGGAAGGACTGTGATCAAGGCCACAGTGGTCTGTCAAATGGTGTTGTGAGGACTGTTGGCAAAGGGAATGTTCTGAGAATCCCATAGCAAGCCACTCTATCTGGACCCCGGAGGTGGGATGTCATGCTATGGGATACTCATGGCAGGATTCCTGGGGTTGAGCCAATAATGAGACCTGGTAAAGGAGTCTGTCCAGGAATACACTTTCTCAGGGAGGTTCACCCAGGACCTGCTATGATCTGCTCTGTATAGGCAGTGGTGGTGAAGCAGGTTCTGGGCTGCCTTGAAGGTGGTTAGAAGTGTAGAAACACTGAAGATCAGGCTTTTGTGTGAAGGCAGGACTTAGATGAGATAGAAGGCCATGTCCATGAACCTTACTGAGGCAGGGAGGGAGGTCTGGAAGCAGGCAGATTTGAAGGTGTTGGGCAACTAGGAGCTTCATATGGGTTTCCTGGACACTGGTAAATAGGTTCCATGAACACTCCAGAAGGACTGGGTCAGGGTACTACTGATTCCTGATTTTAGTGCATCAGATTCATCCCTTGTTCACACCAGGATCCAGTGTATAAATGCACCCTGGATGGGGCACCAACATAAGAGGGCCAAGTCCTATTAGTAGGCCAACATCTCCTTTCTACCTCTTTGGGTGTGATTTATGCCAACCATGCACTTGGCCAAGGGGCTGTTGGTACCTCTTTGTCTAGTTTGGGTTCCCACCAGTACATTGGTATCGGGGCAAGAAAGGCTAGTCTCTTTAAGATTGGTGAAGGGCCTCAAGTGTACCTAGATGTTCCTGAGAAAAACTGGTCCAGGGATTCACATGAAAGGTACATAGAATTGCCTAAGCTGCCATGCCATCAGTGCTGGTTTCTTAGGGAGCTTGATCTAGGTCAATATGTAGAAATGTACCTGCAACCAATGGGTCCAAACTTGATCCTGCTGTCAATTAACATTTTATCAATCAATGTCCAACAATTATATAAAAAATAAACCTATATGAGTTCATAAGCCAGGTTCAAGGACACAGGGATACAGTTCCAGAGGCATATGCTACTACTGGTGGTCCTGCTGAAGAAAGAAGTTAGGGATGTCCTGTGATAAGCTAGTAATTCCAAAACCTGGATGAAAAAAAAAATGGAATGATTCAGAGTGATTCCTGGTGTAGGTTCCATGATGAGACCTTATATTGTCTTGAGAGATGATGACATAAAATCATAAACAATAAGATTACACAAAGGCTCACATGGTTCAGAGTGCTATAAGAAGAACCAGGGATTGCCATTTAATACAGATTTTTTAAAAATCCACTGGACCTGGAGGAATTATGACATGCAACCCACCATAATGGCCACAATTTCATACAAGTGCTCACTGAAGATGAACAAAATACAGACAAGGATTCAAACTCAGCTCTAACACCTCAATGTGTCTTTCAGTGAGACTAGAGGTCCAACGGGAGGAAGGCACCACATTGACGGCACAATGGATTACTGAGGCACTTTCATGATTAGTGTGAGTCATCACAAAGAGGATAAAAAGTGAAAAAGTCCTAATCATTTGAAAGCAGGTTCAAGCGGAACACAAATGCAAGAATGAAGCACAAATGTGTCTCTGAAGTCTCACTTAAACCATGGTCAGGAGTAAAGACAGAAACACTCATGAAAACGATACATGAAGAAAATTTTAAAAAAGGAGCGAATTCTTGTCCTATATACCCGAAGAGGTAAAGCATTCAAAAATGAGATTGAAATGATGCAAAATAATATGGACTCTGAGAGAAGGAATTATTCAAAGAGGTCAGAAGTGTAGAACTAAAAAACAAGGACCTAAATCTGCTGAGGGAGTTTGCTATGGAAATATGTTGCAGCAAGGAAGTTAAAAAACCTGAAAAGCAGAGCTGCAATGACTTGTAAAACAGAGGAAAAGAAACATAATGTAACTTTGCACAAAAAAAAAATTCCTGAAAATTACAAAAAAAAAAAAGTCAATGGAGGAATTATTCTCAGGAATAAAAACAGGGATTCAGAAGGCACTAAGTTAAACTAAGACTGAGACAATAAAAATTGGAATGCTTAACTCTAGAAAGAAAAAGAGCCACACCACAAGAGTTGGCCTGTTGTCCAGCCCCGTGACTATTCCTCATCTCTCTAAGCTATCCAGGATTGTGGTGTGCCACGACCTGCAGAGGAACATGTGTGTGCAGGGCAGAACCTGAGCTGCTGGATGCGGTGTGTGCTCGCAGCCTGTTCTTGGGTAGCTCAGCACAGACACTGATGCCATGTTGTTAGGTGTGAGACGAGGGTTGTGAAGAGCCCTCCCTGAGTAAAGCCCCTGGAACCAATGTTCTCATGCCAACACTGTGCCCACTGTGCCACTGCTTGCTTGTGCTGCCAGGAATCCACCAGGATGTGGGCAACAGGGGCAGGAAAGAGAGCTACACTATCACATAGTGTCTTTCAGCAGGGCCATGTGGGCCAATGGCACCTGTGGGTCTGGGGTCCAAGCGGCCAAGAGGTCCCAAGCCAAGCCAAGTGGGCGGGGCTTGTCTCACCCAGCACGCAGCCTGCCTGGACACCCTCAGCTGCAGCATGGGGACCACAACCCCCCGGGGCCAGTGCACTCAGAAGCGGCTCATGCTGCTCTTCACACCCACCCGCCCACCTCTGCCTGTCCCACAGATGATGTCACCACCGGAAGCCCCCGTCCCTTCCACTCTCCTGCACTCCAGGGCGACTTTCCAGACCACAGAGCCCATGAAATGCTGCTGCTGCCCACCCTGTTGCCAAAAAGACATCTCTGGGACTTGCCATGGTAAGCCAATCCACCTGTTCCCTGGAGGTGGGAGGGCACATCTTGTGCCGCCTGCTCTGCTGCTGTTCCTTGCACTGGGTCAATGATGAGATCCCATACTGAAGAAAGGTGATGACTTAAAAAAAAGTCATGCTCAATAGGATTACGCTGAGGCCCAGCACAGTCCCAGTGCGACCAGAGGACCCTGGGGACCTCAGATGTCTTCTCGGGAGAAAGGCATCCAAACTGGGGACATGGAGGTCCCCAAACAGGCCAAGACTCAGTCCCCAGTCTCAAGCAGTCGCTCGGGCAATGTGAAGCCAGGCTTGTTCCTGCTGGTTTTGCTTCTTCCAGCCATCAGAGCCGGTGACATTGACACAGAGAGGGTCTGGGGATAAAGCACCGACAGGAGACCACTGATAGTGAAAGTCTCTCTGAATCCTTCCTTTATTATTCCCTTTATACTCTTTCCCAAAATCCCGTTAATTGTAGGATACCAGTGAGTCTGATTAGGCCCGGTGCTTTTAGCTGCAAGCCCTTTACCTTTTACTGCTGAACTTAATGAGTGCTAATCAACTCCTTAGCCCACATCAGGTCTCCCTTTTTTGTTTTAAGGCTGACTTGAATGTTCCTGTCTTAGTTTGTGGACTCTCAGGTTATCAGCCTTACCCATTACTGAGATTCTGCATAGCACAGAATTTCTGTTGCATGATAGAGCCCCTATCTTATGTAGGTCAGTGCCCAGTTCATTTTACCTATCACTTGCTGCCATTCAACATGTTGCCTGCTGCAGCTGAACATATAATAGTTGAGGAGGTTGGTAACCTTGTCCCATGGCTAGGAATATTTTTAACATGGTAGCATTAAACAGGCAGCAGTTCCTGGGCTTGGGAAAACCTGGCACTACACAGGTGAAAAATACAGGAATGCATTATTGGAAATAAGAGGCCCTGACCATATATCTCACTGCATCTGCTGTTTCTCTACCAACAATACAACCAGTAGTTACAACACAAGAAAGACCACCTGCAAGTGTTGATAAAAAAAAGTTCAGTTGCTAAATAAAACAGTGAGCTCAGTAGGTAGAGCACTGGACAATTAATCATACAGTCATAGATTTGAGGCCCACATTGCCGCAATTACTACGACCAGTACAGCCAGTAATGAGGATAGAGAAAGGGTTTGGGATGACATCAGTTATGCCCCTGCAAGGTTTCAAAATTATAAAATTACCATAGTAGGTCCAGGGATCCCTCAGATTATCCCTCAGGCCATGCTCCCCATTAAAGGCCATTAGCAACAGCCAGAAGAACCAGTAAGGAAGACATAAAGACATTCACAGGATGAAGCTGACACCAGAGACAAGTGATGGTAGAGGTCGCTCTGAAGACGCCATGTATTTACTACCTTAATAATTTATACAACAAGCACTAAAAAATGGGAAGCTAATGAATATGGAAAGAGGAGGTGCTGTAAACCACAACACATTTCCTATTGCAGCTCATTCAAAAATGCCACTCAACTTCTTAAAAAAGGACACATGTTGCATTTTCCTGAAGCTG